TCAGATTTTTAGCAAACAGTGCATAAAAACGATAAAAAGGGAAACTAATTAAAAAGGGCTAAAAAACTTAAAAAAAAACACAGAAAATATTCATTTTTACTGCTTTCAGGGACGCTGATTCAAAGCGCTTAAGATCACCTCAAATCGATGATTTTTTCCATTATTCCGCCCTCATCCGTCAGCACTTCTTCAGCGCCAAAATGCCTGAAAAAACACCTCAAGTTCGAATAAAAATAAATAAAAAAGCATAGATTGCCTTCAGATATACAGCAGAAGTAGAACCATCCCTCAAATCCCTTTCCATATTAACTAAATTTCCCAAGGAAAAGCAGATAAATTCCCAAAATAATGAAAAAACTCAATTTTGGTTACAGAGATCACGAAGAACGTTAGAAGCCGTATTTTATTAATACACAACAATGAAAGTTGGCTGTATAAAAAGTAATTAACAGAGCAACCTTGCAAGAAGAGTGGTATAAGAAGTAGTTTTCTTCTCCCTCTCCTGATTTTTGCGCAATATTGGTGCTATTTCTCTTTTGAACTTCTGCAGTTCGTTCAAACTGGGAAATGAGATTTTCAGATACATTCGTTTAAGTCCCGACAGGTGATTCTTCTGAAATGCATTAATTATTTAAGTCATCTCTATCTAAAAAAATATACAAAATTCATAAAATAAAGTATCACTCATAAAATTAAAACTAACAAGCAAGAAAAACAGACGAAGGGTAGACAACTTTCTGATTCCGGCCGTTCCACATTTTGATTTCTTTGGACCATCAAGCTGTTTTAAGATTACGATGCGGCCTTCCAACGGCCGCAATCTATTACTTCTATCCTGATATTTCGCCTAATCGTTAAATCATCCCGACATAGCTTTAAATTTCGAGAGGAGGTGGTGACGATCAACACAAATCAAGAACATTTCTGATCAGTTAAAACTTGCTAAATGCTTTTTTCGAGAGAACTAAGAAGAAAATTCCTTCAGAAGAAACGAATGCCAGGGCCACAAGTACAATGGTCATCAGGCGATGCAGAGCTGGTCAAAGCAACTGAAAAAGTTGGTTGCAAAGTTAAAGGAGTACAGCTTTGGTGCCGCGTATGAATACATCGATGGATCGAAGGAACCAATTAGGGGGATAGCGAGGCAAGGCAAGGACTTCGCCTTTATGTTT